GGAAGTGAGTGCAAATTCTGTCCTGTAGAAAAACATGCAGCCATAAAAATGCATATTCTAATAGGGTGAGGATGGTTTAGAACCTTTGTTTGGATTATATTTCTGTTTCATGTCTATAGCCTGAGCACAGACACACATTAAAAGGACACGTATTGACACGTAAGTATTGACATGTTTTTAACAAGCAGTAAAACAAGCCACCACAGACCTCAGTAGCTATAGGCACTGTCGAGAAAATCATCTTCAAAGTTTGAAGCAGAGGCTCTGAAATCAAAGGAGAGGGAGACAGAGAAACAACCGTAGCACTGGAGTCTATGAGACCTGCAGCGCTTACATCTGAGTGGGCTGGAAGTACAGTGTGAACAGTGTTAATCCTGGCATGTGAAAGAACAAATTTGCTAGGTGTAGAATAAAGAAAGCATGACAGGTGGGGCGGGGGGGGGGGGGTGTTGTGTTGCGTTTGTGGTTAGTTTTTCTTTAACCGGGGAACGTGTATTGTGACTGGAGTTGGTATTTACCATAAAAAAGGGTTGTCCAGTTACCAGTGCCGATACTTGGCATTTTCATGAGAACGACCAGAGTTGCAGCGGTTGCAGCTGGGACCTGGCTCTGGCGCTCCACCACTGTGCTGAAATCATTAGTCTGTATTGTTTTATAAAAACTGTCACATGACAATAAACAAAAATGTATCAGTACTTGTACTTGCAAAAATGGTATCAGTGCATCCCTTATTTATAAAAAAAAAAAAAAAATGCATTAAATTGGGGATGTACAAATCCCAGGAGCTCCGTGTGCTCCTTACAAATGAAAGCGGCCTCCTAACTTTTGAATTTTTCTCTAGTCTAGCCCTGGAGCTGGAAAAGTATCTGTACTTGTACTGAGTACGGTACTTGGTATCTGAACATCCCTACCGTAAAAGAACCATTCTTACTTCTATCTCTGTTGCTGTTGAAGAGTTTTGCCAACTTCCTGTCGGGTGAAATGGTTGATCCTAGGACAGGAAGTAAGGGGAAATTTCTCTAATGGAGCCCCAGACAGCAGTGAAACCTTTCAGTGATTCTAATTTTTCTCCACCCTATTCAAAACAAAATGGCTATAGATGAACGCCATGGAGACATAATCTTCCCAGCAAGTTTTTCTTACTTTGGTACAAAAGACGCAAAATAAATCTATTTTTACTTAAAAAAGTAACTTGCATTTAGCACAGTGGACAGAGAACATACAATTCCCATTAAGAGCTTGGGAGGGGGAGTGGGGGGGGACCTTTATTTTGTTTCTTTACAGAACACAGAAATATGTCAGTTGACAAAGTAACACTGGGGACTCTCTCTGCCAATTTTACAAGCTTTCTGTAGAATGGAGACATTTTCTTCTCTCTGCTGGGCTCTGTTTTATGTAAGAACTAAGGATCGTTTTATGTGTTCGGTGTAACCTCTAGGGTGTAGAGCCCTATAATAACAAACAGAAAGAACCGATGCCTGGCTCTCTGAGACAGAATTTCTAACGGCGGCTTCTCTCAACTGCTAAGAAAATTCTTCTGCATCTTCTAAAAGCTGCTTTTTGATGAACCTCTACGCCTATCATCTCCGCCGTTCTGTAGGGGAACATCTACTAATGATAAGTGTCTTTAGGTTGTCCTGAAAATGAGCAGTGCACTTCCTGTACCTAGCCATCCTAGTCCTATAGCCTCTTATGTGTATATCTGCAGTGTGAGGTCAGCTAAGGCTCTGTCTCTGACTGGTAGCCTCAGGATATTTCCAATGACATTTGTTGATGTCTGTGCTGTGCTGATCACTGTCCTCCCTGTTGGGGGGTAAGATGTACCTAAGAATCTGCAGTGCAAGGATCTCCCTGCTTCTGTTTCATACCTTCTGTGGTTCTGTAATTCCTCCACCTCTACTGCTGCTCTTGGCTATAGGACAGAAGTGCATAGAGGCTATAGGAACATCTGTCCTATAGCTTTCATGATCTGGGATCAGGCTCAAAGTCCAGTAGCTGAAACAGCAGGCAAACTCGTAGTCAAACAGGCAGATTTCGGAACACAAGCAGACGGTAGTAGTATAGGAGCAGGCAGAAGCGTAGTCAGGGATCAAGCTGAGGTCACTAGCCAAAGGTATCAGGTATGAAGTGGAAGATGATGAGAGTAGTCGGTGAATCAGCAGCCATGGGTCGGTACACGGGTAGCAGTATGAGCAGATTGTATCACATGAGGAGCAAGGAAGCAAAATAATGACAGGAGCACAATAATCTGGCAAACAGGAAGTGCTGAGGCGTGGCTTAAATAGGAAGTTCAAGGGATGCGCAAGGAGTTCAGAGTTCAGCAGAAACTAGGTTTAACTGAGGATTACACAGAAGATCAGGCAAGGAGCTATCCAAGGTTCTAAGGTGGCTCAGCAGGTAGAACCACCGCCATCTAAGGCAGAGGCCCTGGGTTCAGATCCAGCCTCTTATGTGTATATCTGCAGTATGAGGTCATCTAAGGGTCTGCTGCCTTTGTCTGATAGTCTCAGGATATTTGTTGATGTCACTGCTGTGCTGATCACTCTTCTCCTTGCTGGAGGGGAAGATGTACCTAAGAACCTGCAATACAAGGATCTCCCTGCCTCTGCTTCATACCTTCTGTGCTTCCTTCACCTCTCCTGCTGTTTTTTTATATTTCCCCCACCGGTCAACAGATCACCAGTCAACTCTGATCTGAGGAAGCAAAGCCCTGCTCCTCTATCAAGCTGGCAGCCCCCACAGAGACACAGTGCAGAGCATGGCATAAGAAGTCAGTATTAGGGAAAAGATTACCTGCAGGGAGCCTATATAATTGGTGACTAGTCCTGTGCACCTTGCTTGCCTCTTTAGGGATACATCTTCCTCATGACAGGTTCTTTTTAGCCCTAGTTTTGCATGGAAAAAAAAATAATACTCTCCAGGTCAACTGAAAAAATGTCAAGGATTGGATCAAAGTTCATTGCAGATCTTCTGCTGCTTTTGTTTTGCAGATACAGATGTATAATTGTTCAGTCAAGACTGCTAAATGGAAGAGCATGCCAGATCAGTCTCAGTGTTGTAGTGAGAAGCATCAATCAGAGCTGAAACTTCCAGGAGTGTTAAAGTTCTGGCGCCCACAGCACTCAGTTGTTTATCCCGCCAACCCCATACGTCACTTCTGTGTCTTGTATTGACATAGGGGTCAATGGGAGGAGCCAATGAGCGGGGGGGGGGGGTTTATACTCCTAGAAAGATCCCC